TGAAACGATACTTTGCTTTGGTTTTTTTGTTTACAAACTAAGTTTCCGGTAAAAAGATGGTACTCCGACCTCATGTTAGGATCACGTGATATGAGTATTATGGCTACCGAATGCAGGTGGAGTGGTTCTGTTGTTCTGAATAAACGTAAAGGGGCTTGTACACAAGACAATTATCAAGCCACTTAACTTACTGTTAGAAGGGTGGGCAACTGACGATATCAAAACTTTTAGACAAGATTATTGGGGCATAATTTCACTGTTTGACCTTTGATTTGCCTATAATTAAACCCACTTTTATCAAAAGATAATCTGTGAAAATGAACGAACTTGTCCTTTAAATCAACAACAGCCCCTTTAAGTAATGTGGTAATCTTCAATGCTGATTTAAATTCCAGAAAAAGCAAAGGCCTTTTTCTTTCAATTAGAAAAGGATATGTCATTCAGCAACATCTTAAGATGATTGTATTATAAAGAATATTAACGGATTCTTAATCATTAGATATGCGATGGAAAAAAAATTATTATAAAATTATGTTAAAACTATGTTGAATATATAATGCAGGACAACTACGCAATAAAAAATACTAAAATATATCAGGGTCCGCACGAAAAGATATAAAATTCCCACAGAAGATGTAACATTAGATTTAGGACAATATTAAAAATATTTCAAGAAATCATTAAACTGGTCATGGGCTATATGGCTAATACTTTTGTATTAATATTTAAAGTCATGGTCGACATTTGGAATATCAGTCTAAAAATGGTAGACTTTCGTTTAGTATTGGAATATTCGGCATCCCTCGCAGACTATATAAACGATATACGGTACCCCCCCCCCCCCTCCCAAAAACTGTGAGCATCCTCTTTAATCTTTTGATTAGACAATCCAGAAAAATATTTAAAGAAATGATTAGAATGGCACGGACTATGTGGCAAATACCCTTGAATTAATATTTAAAGACTTTGAACGTCATTTGAAAAACAAGTTCAGTGTTGGTAATTTGATAACATTCGGCATCCATCTCAAACTATATAAACGGGATATGGTCAAAAGTCATTGCTACTTATATTTTTCTTTAAAATCTTCTAATGGGTCTTATTTTAAATCTGATTGAATTCAATCCGAAATATTGTGTTTTGTTCTTAATTAAATGTTAAATATTCAATTTGGGTACATTTTAGCGTGGATAAAGACATGGAAAGTTTGATATTTTCCAAAAAATGCAAATGACGCATAGAGACTTTGAGATAAATATCTGTTCTTGTGGTAAATGTACCAAAATGAAACCTTTAATAGTATACTTTTTGTTTTTCTATTTGAAAATGGACGAAAGCCTGAACTACAACTAAAAATCATAATGAGACTATGCATGACGAGACGGACTGAAATATATAAAAGAGCGTTCGACCGTAATTAAAACATCCAGAGTGCGCGAACCTGACTGATCAAAACATCAAAATAAATCCTAGTTTCTGTTGATATAAGGTATTTTAAACATCCAATCAAATGTTTGCTTAGAAAGAAAGGTCAATTTACAATACGGCGAAAAAAAACCCAAACCTCGAAGTATTCAACTAATCACAATGAGGCTATGACGTATGGTGAATATGCGGGATGGTCTTTTTTACTTTCTCTCGGAAAATATTATATTATTCACATTGTATTGGCCTATCAGTCAGTTGTATAGGAGTTGTCATTTGATACAATACTCCATTTTCCTTCACCCCACCATTTTTTTTGTATTGAACTATATAAGGTTGAGGCGTAAACATTCACTCAGTTGTTCCCAGTGACTTTAAAAACTCACAGTCGCCATCAGCTCTCTCTATCGCGATATCTTGACGGCTATGAGGAAGCTTCATTATTAAACAGTTAGCTGTTTTGAATGAATGGATTAAAGCTATCGGATGTCCGCTAGTCTTGTTACAGGTAACCCGATTGCTTAGGGTTTTTTTTTTTATAAAGGTAAGGCACGAACTGTATGTGGTTGCTGACGTTTCGTGTTAAGGACACTGTTAAAATTAATCAAATAATACAAACTATTCGTTTTCACCTTGAAGAAGGTTTTTCTGTGAGGCTATGTTCACCTAGATTTTAGAGAAATTCAGTTTATAAACATTCTTATGGAAAAGGTTCAGGATTTTCTACACGGGATTCTGGTTTTTGGAGGTATGGTATTTCTGTTAATGTTTGTAGAATTTCGTCGTCGACTACTTTCATTATGAGAGAAAGGTTCATTATCAATACATTTCTCCAAATCAAATCATTTTATTGTCTTTAGATTATTTCTCCAAATCAAAGCATTTTATTATGGTTAGATTATTTTATTGTGGTTAGATTATTTCTCCAAATGAAAGCATTTTATTGTGGTTAGCTTATTATGGCGATGTTATTTTGATGCATATATTAAAATATAATATAGTATGTTCTATTTATTTATATTCCTGCAGTTGTTGCGGAAGGCGGTGTGTGTGTGTGGGGGGGGGGGGTCTAGAGTCAAGTGACGTGGTTTCGATCCCATGTTTGTACGTGACAACCTCTATGGTTTTCACTGGATCCCCCTGCTTTCTTCCACTACTAAAGACACCTACGCACAAAAAAGTTATTGAAACATAATTGTATTATATGTTAGTCCCGAAAAGAACTCTCTCTCTCTCTCTCTCTCTCTCTCTCAATTATTTATTACTGTTACCCGTATGATCATGAATCATGATATATATAATTCATGATTACCGTTCCGGCACGTGGGTGGAACTAACATTCAAACTGTATGTCAATGGATTAAGAAATATAATTCACAGCGACAATTTCACAATTAGGTGTAAAATAAACTTCAAAGATATCAGGTGAAAAATCATCTAGCGGAGAAAATGTTTAGACATTAGATTTCCGCGGGTTGTAGGCTGTTGTAGCTTATCCTAATACTAACGACGATAACTCAGATAAATAGTTAAAATTGTACTTTTAATAAACGAGTGTCCAAAAACTGGTTAACGGTCACAACAACGATATAGGAGGTATCGCTAGGGTGAGCCGATCACCAGACTAAAGTTGCAGTAGAATATGGTACATGTATAAAATAATTATATAATAATATATGATAAGTAATGTTAAATTTTACACCAGAAACTGATGTTTAAATACAGAAGATGATGTCGACATGGCAAAAACGCGTGTTATAACAAAATTACGTAATTTAATAATTAACTATAAACACAAATATTTAAAGGCGTGAATGATTAGTGAGATATCAATTCGGACATTGGTCAGTTATTACCTCAACTAAAATTATACACAGTAACACGCATAAGTGCACCACGTGACCTACGCCCGTCTTTAGAAACCCCGTTTCATTACAAAAATAGTTTTTCATTAGAACCCTAGTGAAAAATTATGAATCAATCCACCTGTATCCTACTGAAGCAGTGGTCCACTGAGTTTATTAATTTTACGTGATTTGTCGCATCCAACGCTTGATTTGCACTACAAAAGATTATATGTGTCAACACCATAACTTCTTTTCTTTTTTATTAACAAAAGGTTCGGTTAAATGGATTATGACTGATATTTTGTGAATGGCAGGTGCTTGAATTGATTTTATTGTGCTTACAGTTTAAGAAGTTCGTTAAACCGATAATATAGTGACGGGCGTGTTTTCAAATTGATATTATAAATATAAGCTCGTGCATAATAGTTTTTAAAAACATGTTTAGATTTATTTGATAGTATATTCCTATTTCTTTACGTCTAATGTTTTGTACTCTAAATAACATTGTAAATACTGTAGAAATACAAGCCCACTTAAACGCTGAAAAATATCAATTGATATTATCGTCAATGAATAGATTAAATATAATAGGCAAAAATAACATATACACATTCTGCACTCGTAGCGAACTATCTTCTTTGAGAATAGATCTCTGTCCTGAATGGCCGCCATATTATAGTAGCTAAGTCACTAACTCAATATCATCCAAAATCTTCCACATTGAAAACACGATTTATTTGTCGGTTTAAATCAACATTGATGTTGTGATCTTACCGGGAAAAGATGGCCTTCTGATATCCAATATTTAAGACAAAATAAACATTTTACAATTGGTACACGAATCGTGTACCGTAATGCGTTTCAGCGCTATTTGTAATAAGGGACTCGAAAAACGAGGCTAGGCATATTCCACAAGTCATGTCAAACGGTGACGCTATATTCTTATCTGGAGAGCAAGCCCAATAAATAATATCGCTGAACCTAACTGATTAAAAATTACAGTAAAAACAGAAACGTTTGAATGTAAATCAATTTATATACATTCATATTACATTACTGTATGCGTTGCGACCCATTTGTGTCAATTTCTAGGTCCCAAATATTAGCTATTATTTTGTTACATGGTTCTAATCCGTTATACATTTTTCATGCATAAAAGGAAGTCTAAATTTTCGATTTTATTAAATGGAAGCGGAATATATACTTCTCAGAGTATACTTTGTGGGTTTTTTTTTTGCTAAAATCGTCGATATAGGAACTTAATTGTCGGTATACTAGCTTCGTGTCTGTTCTAAATCTGAGCTAACTGTAGACAGACAGCGTAAGTTTTGTATGAAAAAAACATACACAAGCACATCCGGCTGTGTTACTTTACCATTAGCAATATTAATTCACAACACAAATCATGCCCAGGATGTGCAGGGTGTAAAACCGTGCTATATTTGATATTATAGCCACCAATTGGCAAACCAATACTGTTATTTGTAGAGATTGTATGTGAATTAATGGGTTTTATTTTAAAATATTGCATTTCATCGTTTATCTTATTTAAAAGTGATGGGTTTTTTTTTATCGTTTTACCATTCTTTATGCAAGTATGTTTTTTTTTCTATCCAGAGCGGGTATGGGTAGTTTTATTGCTGTCCAATACTTTGTTTTATATGATTGTATTTGACGCCAACGATGTACGTCGCATTGTTTAATAATTGTCATTTTTGTATTTTTCAGAAACTGGTAAAATGGGATTATTTCGATGGTTGAATAGACTAAGAACGCGTCATCATCGTTCCCGACATGCCTTATTCTGGGTTTTGACCGTTTCCTTTTTGTGTTGTGTTCTTTACTTCAACCACCAAGGCTTGGCCACTCTCAACAATGCCCAGTACGAGATAGAAAGTGCGAATGTTAGGAACATTCGTCCCGGAGAAGCAGCAGCCAGGGTCCCTAAGGCAATAGAAGGACCCCCTCCAAATCCCTTTGAAGAAAAAGAAGATGATGATGATCTTGATCTTCGATCCGACCTCGCACCGGCTACCTTACATTATATTTGGTGTGGTCGAAGAACTTTTGAATACAAACATTATCTGGCGATTAAAAGCGCCAACCGTGCTGTAAAACCAGACAAGATTTTCTTTTATTATGAAACTTTACCGGAAATGGACCCCGAGGGCTATTTTCTATGGTTCAATCAAACATTATTGGAAATAGATCATTTATTACCACGCCCGTTGAACTATTCATCATGTCCGCAAAGCGGTGCAGACAGATATTTATTAGTGTTGGATATTCTGGAGAAAAATGGCGGAATTTACGTTCCGGAGGATGCATTATGGGTAGATTTCCCAGTACATCTGCGAACCAACCCATTGGTAACCGGTGTGACGGCGCGTAATCCTACATTATTCGAGGATGGTATCATCGTCGCTAAGAAAGGTGGCTTCAAAAAGCCCACGAATCCAGAAGAGCTTTTAGTTGTTCTGAGTTTAGGAAAGCATGAACACGGTGGGATCAAACCCTGTGCATCCCAAGAAGAATATGCCCGTGATGTCACTGGTGACTTTATCTGTGTAAAAGTGTCCGCTCCATTATTTCCCAAAGACATATGGGAAGATAACTCTAGATTTGGAATGCTGTCCCGTGTGGTGGCTTATGGAGTTCCAACTATTACTGTTAAGCACAAGACCAAGACGTCAATTCCACGCATTGCTCATTTTATCTGCTTAGACACCTGTGAACTCCGTTTTATCGCTTACCTGAGCATGTTAAGTACCGTTTACGTGGCCGGACTACATAAAGTTTATCTGCATGGTGTTCGCGAACCTTCTGGAAAGTGGTGGGCAAAACTTAAAGGAGATCCGCGGTTCATTTTTGTGTTCCGCGAATACCCAGAAGCCATATATGACAAATCTGTGATGACGCCACATTTAGCTAATGGAATCATGAAAATCGCCATCTTGTTGAAATATGGCGGCATATATCAGGATCAAAACGTTCTTTGGACACGACAAATTGATGACCATTATTTCGGATATGACGCAATCGCTTCCCCGGACTGGCATATGTACGGAAGTTGGCCTGATTCTGTTAACCATGGTGTTATTCTATCAAAGCGCAACTCAGAATATATGTTTCGTTTACGCCAAACTCTACAAAAATATAAAAACAATCCATTTTGGTTTAACGACCATTTTATGTCATATAAAATAATCGAAAAACATCCAGAAACAATTTTTCTGGATAGACATTTACAAGTTAAATGCTTGAACCACAACTGTCATCCAACATGGCAGCCGCATTACCGATCCGGGTTAATGCAAAATAAGCCAGGTGCTCCATTTAACTGGCAAAATGACACTTTAAGTATCCATTGGACGGATACATTTCCGGAACTCGATGCTGATATGGTGAAATATACGAGCGGAGCCATAGTGGAAGCTAGTAGAAACATTTTATTACGAGCAGGAATTGATATACAGACACTATGATTCTTTAATTTATTTCTACCATCTTTAATTTGTGTTCTGGGTCCAAATATAAGTTTGTCTTTTAAAAATCAACTCCATTAAATGATTCCAAAGACGCACGATGAATTCCGAACATAATAACAAAAATTTCTGTGAGTCGGTTTCGCGTAAGCAAAATGTGTTCAGTTTGCTAAATGGTTCAATGTAATACGGAAAATCTCCGTTACAATTTGTTATTGTTCAGTAAATTCCGTCTCAGGCCAATGACAATTAGATTCTGTAAGAGTCTTTTAAGTGCCGAATATACGCAAATGACTGGCGAATTGTTTCTACAGAAATGGATAGACCATCATATCATGTGGTCGGCGTGTCTCTTAGTTAGCTCTCTATAGAGTAACTTATTTTCCAGTAAGGGATACTGGGATACAGATACTTGTGATTTTTTCATGATCCGACAACCAAGTAGAGACTGGCTGGAGTGGGTGCGTAGGGTTTCGGCTAGAGCTCGATGTGTCATTTCTAAGCCCTAGCGACAGAAAGCCCCAGACGGCTGAATGGGTGGTTTGAAGGTGAGACTTGTCGAGTTCGTTCCACAATGAGCTAACCCTCTCAGACAAAACCGTTACTTACCCTAATGACATTATGTGACTAATTACAATGAAAACGCGTTCATTAGCGAGTGTGAATATGAATAAAGTATATTGATATAGATCGGTCGCTTTCATAAAGTGTTCATTATTTTTTTTTATAGCATTTTACACATGATTTAACTGATATTCGCTTTAATTTCATAAAAACCATAGATCGAATTCCACTATTTTTTTTATTCATTTCATCTCAATGCATTTTAAAGTTTTCCCATGTGGTCAAGGAGAACATTGTTTCCAGCGGTTATAAGATTGCTTTTTGAAAACGAAATAGTTTTATTTTGGTCTTTCCTCCGGCGCCCTGCTGTACCTACCCCAGATAACACCCTGGCTATATCAATCTATCTAATTGGCTTCAGACTAGTAATTACCACCTCATTGACTTTAATGTTAAATCCCTGCCATACCTTATAACATTATTGAGCATTCACAGTTATCTTGACCATCTGGAATGTTTTGGGGATCTACAGACTCTGGCTTCATTTCGTAGGTGACTTCCCTAATACAGACCTGTGTATTTCTTGATGCTAGATCAAGAAGTCAATGAAAAGCGACATGCACTGGGGGTGATTGGCAAAAGAGAGAAATTGTTATTAGTAAATCTTGAAATGGGTGGAAATAATTGCAAGACTTAACCGGGAGTATTACAGGGAATTATCATGTTTCCTCTCGATTATTTTGACCAATGGAAGGTATCTGTAGCGAAGAGAAGACCAAATGATCCAGGATCCATTATCGAGATGATTTTATATACGTATCGTTTTTATGTTAAAGTATATGTTATTCACACTGGAAATATATTTATCAATTTATATTTTATTCGGTTACCAAGTATACTATTATGCATGTATGAAATATTAAAAGTATGGCTTCACACTCTACATTTATGTGTAGTTTAATGTTTCGCACGAGACCATTAAACAACTTAAAATACAGATACTATCTAGCACGTGTATTTCAATGAAATACGTCACGTGGGTCCAATATTTCAACTAGTATAAATAATGTACGCTTGGCAAATTGCCCGTGCCATTATCAAAGGATGACGTCACATGAATCTGATTAAAATATAGATCTATAATTATTTCGTTTCGTTTTTTATACTTTCGATGGCCTACACTACATGAAGATCTGACCAGTTGTGCTGGGAGGTGGCGCCAGGGGCCATGCGAGTGGCTTTTAACCTATGACGTCAGACATTGATTAATCAATCAGCGTTGACGTTTCTAGGGGTTTACCCACAGTTCCGTGCTCAAAATTTGAACAAGCGCACTAAATACAAAATATGCACATAAAACATTACAGCCTCAAATTCATTATAAATAAATAGAAATAAAATTCCTCACATCAACTAGATCGCCTGTTATATAACAACGCTTCCAGATCCTATAGTGTTGTGAAGACAAGTAAAACGAAATTTTGAACTTAAAAAAACCGAAACGAAATAGGATTTGTGTTTTAATCAGATTGACGTCACATTTGTATTTTAAATATATATATATATATATAGACCTTCCAGTTTACTGAATGTCATTGTGCTTGATAACGATAATAGCATACTTATCGAAACGTCGTGCGTGTTGTCCCATATAACTCTGTTAGTTCTGTAAATGTTGACCGTTATATACATATGTTAACGCCTTACATTGGGTCTTGCTATTTGTATACTTTCATGTATTTGTATTATGTAAACATTGATGTAAATAAATCTGTACATTTTATAAAAAATGTTTTCTGTATTACTTTAAAGACAATGGGAATAGGCCATCCAGTGTGCTATGAGGGAATAGTTGTCAGGACAAAGGCACTACAGCATACTCTTATATTGAATTCCAACTACCAAGGGTTCTTTTACGTGCACGCTAATGTGTACACGGGACCTCGGTTTTTCGTCATACCCGAACGACTATACGTTGTCCCTTGCCCGGCCCCCCGTCTTGAAAAGGGGGAACCTCGCCCTACTAATATAAAGCTGCACTGTTTCCGAAAACTTCGCTTCTGAGGTCAAGCACACAATTGTTCAGCATTAGCGTACGGCATCCACTGTGACTTGGACGACTTTAAGTTTGTTGCCGGAAGTTATATACTCTAAATTGATCTTCAATCTCTAATTACTGTTGGAAAGTAGGTTTAGTTTGACTGAGAAAAACCACAACTTGCCCGAAAAAAAAACTTTAGCTGAAAAATATCCAAGAACATTGTTCTGCTCGAAAAACCATATCCATGGGCATATTTGACAGGTCCACAGTCCTTTCCAGTGGTATTGACTCTCTTGTGCCGACGTAGGAAGGAGCTCGGTCACTACAAAGAAAATGCACATCGTAATTCTTTTGGCAAAATGCGATATTGTTACTTTTTGTTAGCTGGGAGTCCTGACAAGAAATGTCAAAGCGTACAATAATCGAGACGAAACTAAACATGAAATTGGATTCTGGGGTTACGACGATGACAGGAAATTGGATTGATTGTGGTCTACGATGATGACAATAAATGGATTGTGGAGCTACAGTGATGAAACCTGTTAGATCAGGTGGTGCTGCGACAGTTAATGACCAGATGCGCAAATAATTGATTATAATAAAATCATGTTGAAGAAAATTTAGCACCCATCACAATTTTATTCCTCAAAGTACCAAACGTCAAAATGGCGGGTTGCAAATTCAGGAATAATTTTCTGGTAATTACTAAGCATATGATCTTTGGCCAACTAAATTGAAAATTAGGTCAGGATAACCAATGAACTTGAAAACCCACAAAAATTACAAGTTTTTGCCGAAAATCAAATATAATATAACTACGTAACTAGTCAACGGGCTAAGATGAAGGAGAACTTCGCTTTTTAAAAAAAAGGAGAAAAATGGCAAATTTTCTTCGAATAATTGGTTAAGTTATAAAGAATATTTGGCTGACTGAGCATTAGATGTGCGCACTCAATGACTAAATTTTAATATGAATAGAAATTTCGTCCTTTGAATAGACGTAATAGACGTCCACTTTTTTTTATTTTATCAAGATACACGAACTTCTTATAAGGTATATTATAAGATTTTTCGCACTTAATGACAAATTGAAGTTATGCTTTTATATTTGAATTACATATCGAATATAATTTCACTAATCGAAACTTTAATATGAAAAACTCGTTTTAGCTTAAAGTTGAGAATGTACATGGGGATTAGCTCTTTCAGACGTATTGTAGCGTCAACAATTTTCTGAATTAAAGATGCGCTTTGTAACATTTACAGAGAGAGAGAGAGAGAGAGAGAGAGACAGACAGACAGAAAGTGTGTGTGTGTGAGAGAGAGAGGGGGAGGGGGTTAAAGTAGCTAAGTCTCTAACTCCTTATCATCCAAAATCTTCCACAAGTCATGCCAAACGGTGACGTCATATTCTTATCTGGAGAGCATGCGCAATAAATACTATCTGTGTAGACTGGAATAACCAGACGCTAGAGATGGGCATTCGATTGAGACTTCTGGCGTATGTCGCCGAACATAATTGATTAGAAATTATTGTAAAAACAGAAACGATTGAATGTAAATCAGTTTATATACATTCATATGACATTATTATATGCATTGCGACCCATTTGTGTCAATTTCTAGGACCCAAATTAGCTCCTTTAACGTCCTACTGTTCTGCTCCAACTGGGCGAATGAAGACGGACAAACTGTTTTTCAATTGATCCCCATCTGGATAGCGATTTCTCGAGATGAAGTGATAAATTCAGTTTTGATCAAGTCGAGTGGATTAAAAGTGTAATCAAGTGGACGAGCATCTTATTCATAGACGAAGGGTTGGGTTTTAAAGCGCACCTGCTTTTAGTGTGGAATTACTTACTTATCAAAATATAAACAATATAACATAAGTACATCTCTTGGATTTAAACCCAGAATTCGGTTAAAAATTTGATTAATTTCTATTCTATTAAGACATTCAAATGCACTTTCACGGAAGTCAACAAACTACGTCATTTCGGGACTGGCATTTGGTTCAATGTTATTTTAATAATTCGCTTGCGGGTAGGGATCTGTAGCAATGGGAGGAAACGGGGGAGGGGGGCGGAGACAACATTCGAGGTTAGACAGGTGAACCTACTCCTTGTCACGTTAAACCGGGAAATCGAAACCACGTCCACCTGACACAAACTATATCATTTCCGGACAAACATAATGTCAGATTTGAAAAAAGAGTAAATTGGTAGGCAGTTTAAATAAGAATTGTGTATAGGGAAGGAACGAAAATAAAATAGGTATCATATGGAAACAAAATAAATACATAATCGAGCCAAACCAGACACCGAGTCAAAACGCGACACCGGACAGTGTTATATTTTCTCTCTTCATTTAATTCGCGTTACTTTTTATGAACATTCTGAGGATTAGTGCATAAAAGAGTCTGATATATGACAAAGCTGTGACAAAAATCACCGAACCACTTCCAGATATCTCTGAAGATAACCTACTAATTTTAACCGGATGATTTGGAGTAAAATTGCCACGTACATTATGGGAGTCACTGTGGCTCAGTGAGTAAGACGGCTCGCAAGCTGGAGGTTCAATGTTCGATATCTTTGCGCTGGCTGAGAAAGTTCTTCGGGATTTTCCGGCGAGGTTACCCCTTGTCCGTGGTGCAGGACGGAGGGCCCGGCAAGGGCCAACGTACAGTCGTTCGGGTGGGAGGAAAGACCGAGGTCCCGTGTACAAATTGGAGTACACGTAAATGATCCCTTGACACTTGGAATTCGATATAAGAATAGCTCATAGCGCGTCTGTCCGGGCAAAATGTCCATCATAGCACACTGTATGGCGTATATATGTAGTCCTGTCTTCATTAGCCCAGTCAGAGAAGAACAGCTGGACGTTAAACCTCGTTGCATTTCATTTTATTTTGTCACGTACATTCTGAGAGAAATATGAACGGATTACGTACTTGAACATCAACAAGCAACTGATATATCACATTACAGTTTAAACTGTCGTGTACTGTTCTATTGTATTGCTGGCTCCAACAACACGATCATTATAAAAACAAGGGTTAAATAAGTTCCCCTTGGTGAAACCCTTATTCACATCATGTTCAGAGATAATTATTTGAATGATTTGGTTGCGTGCAGGGGCATTTAAGCAGTGGGGTAGGGTTAAGAAGAGAATCTGTTATGATAAACATACTTATTATAAGATTTTCTTATATGCTATTTTGTTGACGATTTTTACCAGAACGCCAGTTAGGCAGCGTGCATACACTTTGTCACGAACAACCACGGTGATAAAAGTAAAGTAAAGTAAAGTAAATTTATTGCATAAAAACCCCCACGAGGAGCAGCATACAATTACAAAAATTACATTAATACAATACATTAAATATACATGTAACAAGACTAAGGATCAGCAGCCCAATGCACTCACCACTCTATTTAACAATGTAATCAAGTCATTTCAAATATTGGATTTCTTTATGAGCATTTCTTATCATAACTTTAACATGCGATACTATCTCCAAAAAAAATGACTATTTACTCTGGCAAACGAATCCTTTATTGTTTTGAAATCGTCAAGGTAAACAAAACACCTTATTGATAAAAGGTATTTTCTTTTACTACTATGTCGTCATCAGGTTACGAACCAGTCTCCACTGTCTACTTGAAATTATTAAACTAGTATGTTTTATGATTTTTGAACAATGCTTATATTGTTATAAGAACCATCAACACCTTAGCCACATGTTTACTCACACTACACAGCATATATATAAATAGTCTTGCAGCATATATATCTTGTTCGTAATTATCTTTCTTTTCATATTCTGACAGGATTTTACAAACCGCTGGTTTAAATTGACTTTTTAAAAAAATAATTGACAACGCCTTATAAAATTATGTGATATGTACCAGAGGCTGTCGAATAACCTCTATAATATATCTAGGCAAACGTGCTAGTACGGATTGACTGAATGAATAAATAATTAAATGAATGAAATGTGGCTTTGCGTCCTTTTTTGCACCAATCGAACTTATGCTAGGAGATGAATTTCGCCCAGCGGCGTTACCACCAACTCGTCATCGAATT